ATTGCGCTTATTCAGAGAGACGGAACCAAACAACACATTCAGGCTTAATAACCTACAAATAGCAGCAAGAGCAGGACTGCAATCTGCTGTCTGGTCATGAAACCAGTCATGTCCTGAAAACGCAAGACAGGCGAGGACCGAAGGACTACGGACTCTAAAGCAACCATCACAGAGGCCTTGCAGAGGCGGGAGTTCTCTTGGTCCAGAGCAGCTGCGGCAGCCGGGCCGCTTGCGACAGGAGCACAGCCCCCCTGTCCCGTCACATCTTTGTTGTTAAACACTTAATCCAGTAAACCCGCTGTTTAACACCCAGTACTTTACACTTCCCTCCCCTCTCTTAACTCCAGTCCTAATGTGCTCACGTCCATTAAACTGCTCAGAAAGGCCACGGATTAAACAGATAAAGGGAAGGTTAGCTGTGTTTTGATAACGACCTCCCTCTGACAGGATTACCAGCCTGAGGCATGCCTGTGTGCGAGTGTGTCAGGGAGAGAGAGCGGATGTATTCAGGGATGCAATGCATCTGCTTTTTGAAGCATCTCTCTGCGAGTATGTGAAGTTGCCGCATAGGTCTGTCAGAAGTTGAATTCCCCCCTTTTCATCAAGCAGTGACTGTTGTTTTTTCTTTTCTGGGGGCGAGTTGGCAAGTCTGAAGTGCAACTGTCAAGGGACTCCTCAGTTCACATGATCAATCATTCACCTCTGTTTCACCAAAGCACTGTTCATTCTGGAGCATGCACATACAAAATTCAACTAAACACTCACACCTTCCAAAGATCTAAAATTACAATAGCCTTGGGCACACTGAAGACAAGAAGAGCTGAGACTGCTCAGGCTGCTATTGGATCTCGGAGCACTTCATGATGGGAGGGGCCCTCTTCATCCAGCAGCAGCCAATCTGCACCAGCTACACAGCAGATCAGGTAGAGGAGTGAGGAATGGTACAAGCCCAGAGTGCAATCTGGCCAGGACACCGAGGTTGACATCCCTATTCATTCAAAAAGTGCCAGGGGATCTTTAATGGCTGGGGACAGAGGTTTAAGGGACCCATCTCACAGCAGTGTTCCCGAATGCCACACGGAGGCAGTGGTTTTGAAAAGGGCTCTGGTCCAAAAGGAAGAGTATCAACTACTGGTCCACCAAGAACACTTGCAAGGAAACCTGCAACACAGATGTTTCTTGGAGGTCCCAATACGGACCAGGCCCAGGACTGCTGAGCTGCCAAGATCGGCCACGATCAGGCAAGCAGGTGCCAATACTGCTGCCGATATCTTAACCGATGACCGATATCGGTGAATGACCCGATGCACTACTGCCCAAGGCCTCCTTACCATTCAGAAACGTACCGATTTCAAGCCCCATCAGGTCAGGGCAGAGCACGCAACTCGGGGATAAAGTCCCAAATATCAGCATTTCTTATTCTACCTTCGTGTAGGACACCATGATGAGACACGTAGAGATCGGCCCTATTCTGATGGGCCGCCTGAGCTGAGAGACCATGAAACGATGGCACTGAGCAGGGAAGGGCTCCACTTAAATTACAGGGGCAAGGAAGAACCGTGGGAAGCCGGTCAATTTGGCTACATTCGGGAGTGCTCATTTTAATACTGCACGGCGTTCCGCGGACAGGGGGACGGATTTACGCAAGCAAGTGTTGTGGCAGTTTCTGGAGTCCTGGCAGAGGGGCGATGAATGAGGAGTTGTCAGGCTTTGTTCTCTGCCCGGCGAGCCTGAATGCGAGTAATTAGTGGCCAGGCTGGGGAAGAGGAGAGTGAATGGTGGGGGAAGGAGGGGGGAGACACCCCCCCCCCACTGGGACAGGTCTGTGTGGGTCAGCAGCAGGGCAGGGGAGCAGGAAACGGAGAGAGAGAAAGAGAAGGCATGAGAGACAGAGCGGGGATACTTGGGGAGGGTGTGAGCAGCAGACTGGACAAAGACAAGAGATGAGAGAGTCATGCAACAGGTACGCGCTGTTTCTTTAGCGGTTGCGTTGTGTTCCGAGCAGGCTCCTGAAACGTTTCTGCTGAGAAAACTATTTTTTTTCAAAAAGAGTGCTTTTGTGCTCAGTTGGCGGCAGTTGTTTGGGATGAACCACTGGAAGCACCAGTGATAACGACTTGTACATAATGACAGTGATAACGAAAGGGAAGAACCTTCAGAGCTCTTCTGTGCTTTAGGTAACGCAATCGCAGAAGCAACCAGAACGCAGTGTAACTGAGGCATGAGCCAGTTCTCTGGGCAGGCAGACTGAGAACAGCACCTGTGGCCGGGTGTCTTACCTGTTGCAGGTCCGCCAGTGAATACAGGTGAATGTGCTGGAGCAGATACTCCCTAGGGAAAATCCTGGAAGAGACCAGACAAATGTCAGGCTTGGGAAGGAAAGGAACAGTCCCACGCACAAAAAGGACTGATGTGCTTTATTGTGTTGAGGCAGGGGTGCCAGTCTCACTTCCTGACGCCTGCTACTTCCAACCTGAATAGTAATAAAACAGCCAAACTAATCATTTTCAGACATATGCAGGAAGCTACTTAAGGTCTTTTACAGTTAATTAACTGTACCTTAATGAAGTGAGTGTTTTGAGTAAAACCACATAGCGAAGTTACAGTATATATTACCATTATGCAGTCAATTAGATCATTAGAACTGATAGCCTGTTTTAAGGTTTTCATAGTGTTCGGATAGCAAAACAACAAAGCACTCCAACTTCCAAGTGTTGCTCATGTTAAAACAACCGACATGAAAACACTATAAACATCCTGGGCCTGCAGACCATACGAGATTTAACAAGAAGTCAAAGCGTCTTGCAGTCGATGCTTCAGATATGGATAAGCCACTGGAAACCTGGGCACATGATGCCGAGGTCTTCTCCAGCATTAGTTAAGTTTTATGTTTTACTTGCGGCATGCACCTGCTACCCGCTACAAATCAGAAGACAGAGCCGGAGCAGTCTCGAATACCGGCTCTAGACCGGCGAGGCGGCTCGAATTGGGTCAC